GTCAGTTTACAATTCAGCTAATAAAACTACAGAAGTCCACCAGTTAGGTATAAGAGGAAACAGAAGGATATCTTGGGAAAACAACAAACCAAACCCAACCCTCACGCACCCAACAGCACGCACACACCACCACTCAATTTCTTCATACCATTTACAGTTATTTTTACCTTATTTGAAAGGTAAGAAAAAAAGACACCAAATTTTTCTATTTAGTTTACCTTGTGCTTAATCAGTTTAGCTTTGGATGCCATACTGCCAATTATTTGTGTATGCACTGTTTTACTCGGTAATGGGAACATTACAACTTGATTTTACTACAAGCAAGTCTTATAACATGATTTGGAGACTGACTGCAGGGTTACTATTCTCCAATGCGAAATAGAAGCAGATGAAAGCCATCATTTTGGCTGCAAGCTGCACCACAGTTAGGACGCATGCAAAATTTTGAGCTCAGAAAAGTAAGGCTAAAGCCAAATACACAGCTAAGATTAAACCCAAACCTCTTCTGTGTCATAACTTATTTGAAAACTCTTTATAAGCACCCACCTGTCTGTAGAGATAAAGATTCTGGAGTAAGGAAACCAGAAGCCAATAAGGCCATTAGAAGCCTATTAGGAATCTCCCTAACCTAGTCCAACCTCAGATTTCTTGGAATTTTGGCAAGAGAGGGGCAGAGCAGAAGAGCTAGAAATGAGACTTCTGGAGCCACTAAAGGGGAAGACCCTCCTTCAGTCAGCTTTCAGTCTTGGAAAGAAAGAAAATTTTATGTTGTCCAGTCGGGAGGTGAGGGGGCCAGGGAAGGAATCAAAGAGGCATATGTGTGCTGACTAGCACTTGTAAGCAGGCTAGCATTTAAGTGGAGAACCTCTCCTCTTTAATTCTGTGTTCCTGGCAAAATGTGTCAACAGTTGAATCAGCGGTTCGAGGTACTAGGAGTGCTCTAGATTAAGATGCTGTCAGAGTTATTTCTCAGCTGTTCAAAGGACAGTTCTGGACATTTTTTCTTATAAAGCTGAACTTCAGATTTTCCCTTCATCCTGATGCAAGCAACACGATGTGAGGCCATCGAGAATAGAGGTGAAGCCAAGAAAGCCTTGGGAGGGAGGCAATGTTCCTCATCCATTTTCTTTAAGAATACAACAGCTCTTCAATCTTAAGAGAAACAGTTCTCTCAGTTCTGCTTAATTCTAGGTCCATATAAGATTTTATTGAATAAGATTCTTGGGCAAGAATCATTGTTTTGAACTACTACTCTAAGCTTGTCCTAGACAAGAGACAACTTAAAGATTTAAGCAAAAATGAGACTGTTTTATTTTAACCTCTA